TTGACGTCAATCGGATGAAAAGTCATTAAGTTGTCGAAAAAGGATTTTGCCACTCGATTCCAAGTTCAGTAAACGGCCTATAACTTTCAAAAGAAAATTTTTCTCAAAAATCGGCACGCATAACTTTCTAGAGAATTTCACGGCGCGTCCTATGACGTAAAGCTTTTTGCTCTGCGACCTTCCCTTCGGGACTTGATTGGTTTTTGAAAGGTTTTTCGTTGGTTGGGTTTTGGATTTTGGCTAAAATCCAATTTTAAGTATAAAACACTAAAAAGTACTTCATTCGATGCAGTTTTGGCTGCTGAATCCGAATATCGAAATCGCACATCTCTGTGACGTTGTGATGAGAAGTTATTGATTAAATACTGTTAGACTACCGTTTTCGAGGTCTCCAGTCGCTCTCGGTTTTTCGGCTTTTTCACCTCGAAAGCAACTTCGAAAAATGATCGAGACCACATATTCGTGATCAGTGCACTTTTCCCTATCGAATGATGTATAAAAGAACCAAATCTAAAAAGCGTCGAAACCTTGTCTTAGCAGCATCTTACATTTGTCTCAATATTTTTATCTCAATTTTTTTGGTAAGCGGTAAACACAGTACAGTTAGACCGTAACCAATGCTGAAACAACTGGCATATTCAAAATGACTGCTCGAGTTTTAAAAATTTATGCATTACTGCCCATTCTGCGAAATTTTATTGCAGCTGAAGAGGTTGGAAACAACTAATCCGCAATTTAATATAGAGTTTGAAATTATCATATCTCTTGAACAATTCACAACAAAGAGGTTGAAGACGTTTCATTTTTGAATTAATTGTTATCTCATTTAAAATGAGAATGAAGGTCAGTATGCGCTAAGATGTACTTACCAGTACCATGAGAATTATTTCGAATTACTACCAGTAATTCATTAAAAAGGCTTTGTGTACTTGAATTTCATGTCCAAAACCTTTGGATAATGAATCTTGTACATCTGAATAATGACTATTAAACGAAACTGTTTCCAAAGTTCTTAGGCTCTATTTACTCAGAGAAGGACGTTTTTTAGTTTAGAACGATAGTTCTCACTTAAAATATGTACCAAATCTGATGTACTAAACGAGTACTGATTTCCAACGATATAACTGGATAAAGTTCATTTCAGAGTCTATATGCATAAATATCTTAAATCTATCCTATCTGGTTACGACGAAACTTTATTTTTATTTTTATATGCTTCATAAACTTGCTTCTCTTTTACGGAGCGACACCTACTTTTCAAAAAGCTTATAGAACCCGAACGTAAGGTGTGTTTGAGATGGATATTCTTATCTACAACATATCTACATACTCTATGAACTTCATCAAGAACGGCGATAGTCATTGACGGCCGATGTAATGTCATCTGTTGTTCTTCTCCTACAATCGCTCCTAGATTGAAGAACTGATGAATAAAATGCAGTTCACGTTCCTTACACATAGCGTCATAAATTATATAGTTTATTAATACCATGACATGGATGAGTGAATACGCTTGCTTTTTGTTATTTTATTCTTATTGTCATCTGATTTTGACTCTCATATGCATAAAGACAGTGTATTGTACACTACTTCAAGAATGTAAAAAAGTTTCAAAATCTTTTCCGTAAGAAGCCCACATCGTTAAGACATTCAGAGTTGTTCGAGTAATCGATTTCCTTCTCGGCAATTTCAGGATATATAATAATAACAAATAACAGGTGAAAATTTATACAACAAATATCAAGGTTACTGTTAGCGTAACTTTTAGTTTTTACTTAGTTCATCAATTCCATGTGTATTATTAGTTGAGTAGCAGTATCTGCAGATCTAGAATTTCAAGAGCATCAACACGGTATACGAACTAATATCTACTGTTGTTTTATTTCTAGCGTGCATCACTGTTATGCCCATCTATGCTATCTCCGATGTGCATGTCGATTACGCAGAAAACATGGCATGGGTGGAACAGTTACCAAACGATACATACAGTGGAGATACATTGATCGTGGCAGGTAAGTGAGTCAACAGTGAGTGAGACAACAAGTGAGTGACAGAACATTTATCAGAAACGTGCGCGAGAAAAGTTATCGATTCTTAACAAAACAGGGTGTTTCAGTCGACTCTAAACTATTTTTAACTATTTTCAAGGCTTTTATTGAACTGGATAGTGTTGAGCAGGTAAAATAGAGTACATCTTGGTATTCTGACATAATTTGATTGGATCTTGATTGGTTTATGAGTTTTTCGATTTTACTCAAAAATAGTCAAAAGTAGGCAAATGGGGTATTCCACCTAATATACGTTTTCACTAGGTTTTTGAAAGTTTTTCGGAAGACAAATATTGCCACGAGATTCAGCATGATCGAAAACTTTTGTGTCGTTATGTTTTTGACTTTTCACAACGTATACTTAGACCGATAGTAGATGTCCTAGGAAAATCCGTATAGTTTCTAAACGACGAAAGATGAAGGTCTCGGGTTTTCAGTATTTTGGCGGAGAAAGGTCCCTTGTTCTAATACACATCTGAGATCGAAACTAGTAGTGGAAAAATACCTTTTTGGAAGCGCATCTTTTTAAAAATTTGTCAGGTACACCATACCAGATTTTCAAAAACCTCTTGGTGCAGAAAAGATGCGGTCAGATCTTAGCTATCGAATGCTGCAAATCACAGGTTTTTATCATTTTTCAATCAAAAGTTATTCAAAAAACAACCGGAGGCTTGTTTCTTCTACAGATAACAGCATGGATTGAAATGCTCAATGACTAGTATCACTATTTAAACAGTGACTGATGTCTCCTTCGATGGCATTTAAAAATTCCTGTTATGTCTGTTTTATGCAGAAATGTTCCCTCTATAAAATACAAATAAATTTTCTGGGATGAGTATACAGCAGTTCAAAAAATATACATTACACGAAAAAACCACGTTTTTCAAAAACACATTTTTCCAGTATTTACCATCTTCGAAACGATCTATGCACTTTCCAGTCGACTGAAACGCCCTGTTTTGTTAAGAATTGTATGTTCTATCAAGTGAGATATTACGAAAAGATCGGCCAAGTAGCTTTAGCGTTATAGCCAAAATACCGATTTGTACGCTTCTTCAGACACCGGTAAGACTCTCGTTGACAAAAAAATTTATAACCTTGGACCCACTGGGCTCCAAAATGGAAAAATCTGAATTTGTAGGTTTTCAATAATGAACAATTGAATGAGACACTTTCTAATCAAAAATAACTTCTTGCATATGATGATGTACTAAGGAGACTCTTGATCGGCACACGGATACTTTCTTAAACCTTAATAACACCTTGTATTGTTTAAAAGGTGATATAACGCATATCCTTTCGAAGCTTGAGCAGACGTTAAGAATTTTCAAATCCAAATTCAAAGAAGTTTATTACTGTCCAGGTATGTATGTTTTATTTATTTTTGCGCATCTTCTTCGTTTGTGTGCTGGTGATTCAGGTAATCATGAGTTATGGATTTCCTCGAACGATACAGATTTGGGTATTAAAGACTCAGTGAGTAAATTTTTTCATGTAAGTATATTCGATTTCCTACCGCTAAGTAACACATTGTTAATTCAATTATACTCATTGTAGATATTAGAATTATGTGAGGAAATTGGTGTACACACTCGCACAGGTATATCAGAGGGTGTTACTATTGTTCCTTTATTTGGTTGGTACGTGTATTTGTGTACAGGAAAGTAATGTCTTATTTTGTGATTATTTCTGTAGGTATGATGAAAGTTTGCATATACCTATGCCGGAAGTTGTAAGTGACATTACGTTGTGGACAGATTATCATCTATGCAAATGGACTGAGGTATGTATAAAATCAGACATAGTTATTCCCTCTACATCAATATATGACGTTTACTTCATAATTATCTGCTTCTATTACCAGGAAGTACCCCGAGAAGGTGCCGCGAAATATTTTGTACAGCTCAATACAGCGCATATGCCAAATCCGTTGGATACCACAAAAGTTATCACCTTTTCACACTTTTTCACGAGCAGGTATACACTCATTTTTTATTTATTTTCAAATTGACAGAATCATAAATGATGTTTATTTAAGGAAGCTAATGAACGCCTATGGAGATGAAATGCGTCGGAGAAGAAAAGAGATACAGAAAACTGCGCAACAACTTAAACAAGAACAAGATACTGTTAGAGCAAACTTTTCACTTGTTGCGGGAACTGATCTTTTTGACAAACAGATAGAACTGCTTCATTCACTTGTTCACATATTTGGTAAGTAAATGGTATAAGTCAATACAAAAATAGATAATAGTTTATGGAAATTGTTCAGGTCACAGTCACAGAAAGATGCAAGTGGAAATTGACGGAACGCGATACATTAACAATCCATTAGGATATACTTATGAAAGGGCTGCAGGACTAATTGCGCCTCCTCACGATCTTCTTCAAATAGATATATAAAGAGAGGCAAACAAACGTCCACGTACAGGAAAAGTTTTCGTTTGAGTATCATATGAAAAATTGAAAATCATCCGTTGTAGAAATAGACCTGACAATTCGTAAAAATGAAACTTAAGTCTGAGAATTATTTTGAAAGTACTTTTTTACACATACTGTTAATTATATAACTGGATCAAACCACTAATTCCTTGGTATGTTATTCATTTTTTCTTTTACTCAGTATACAGAAGTCACTTGTTGTATATGCTTATTGTCAATGTTTTTATTGTGGATCATTCTGATTGCCAGAATAAATTAAATTTGTTTTCACTTCTGGCATGATACTCGTCGAGTTAATACGTGCAGATGATAAAATTCCCAAAGACAGTCTGTATACTCTTGTAGATATGCAGAAAATGCTAGTTTGCACTATTTTCACAGAAAATTAAGAAATTCATAACTCACGAAGGAAGTCCATCAACTTGAAAATCGTTTGCGGGTCAAAATCCATTGATGTGCTGAATCCGAATATGTAATAAAAAGTATAGGTCAAAAAGTTTCATGTTATGGCTCTTTGGCAGGATGCTCGATCGAGCCAGAAAGTCTCTCTTAAGCTCTATAGCCTCCATAGTTTTTCATTTACACCTAAATTCATATCTGTCGGTCAAAAATTGTTCGGAACGAATTCAGGTCGATCTGTGAAAAGCTCGCCTTTTTTGAAAAACTCGCAGTTTTGCCCGCACAGTGGCACCTTCAGGGAAAATCGCGAGAGACAATCTTGTTTGCCGTTGCAAGCTCTTTCCAACGAAAACTCGCGCAAACAAGACGAACAAAATTTGACTGAGTTATGGAAGAAATAAAAAGTCGCTGAATTTCGGAACTTTTTTCGACCCGCTCACATCAAAACGCCCATAACTCGGTCAAATTAAGTTCAAACTCACTAAAAAATTTTCCGTAACCCCAATTTGATGTGTTGAATCCAAACAGTAATAAAAATATAGGTTAATTTCTTTGCATTAAACCACCTAACTCAATAGGCTCAGAAAGTCTCTTTTAAAAGCATCTTCTACCCCCAAATAAATATAGTCGATGTAGCTTTATAACCTATGCAACGCCGCCCTTCTTAAAAACAACACAGAGAATCAAGTATAGCTTGGATCGAATACATTATGTTGTTCCCAAGTCTCTGCTTGCTATTGTAGGAGTGCTCTGTGTCTAAGGATAATGTTGATATGTGTACGAAACACTTTATTAATGTGTAAGTAACCACGGTTTTAACAAAAAAATCTTTCAGAACTGTCTAAAATATACATATTTATTTGAAACTGGCTATCTTTTCAAAGATACTCACTTGTTTACGAGGAAAACTTTACCGATGCATGTTTGTGTTCCAGAGGCAGTTGTATCATAACATTGGCTGCCACAAAGACTATCCCCTTTATCGCAGAAGATCCCATCGATGCATGTTAGTTTTCCAGAGGCAGTTGTATCATAACATTGGCTGCCACAAAGACTATCCATCCCCTTTATCGCAAAGCGTTGCGGAATAACAGTCAGTGGAGAATAATATAGTTGTAAGAAGACAAAGCTTACATGCTGATAGGGCAAACATAATTTCTTGTACGGTTAGTAAAAGATCTGAATGAAAAATCACAAGAGGATAAGATGCAGTAAAGCACATACAGAGTTATATTCGGAGTGAAATTATAAAGAAAGGCACGATGTATAGAGAAATATCGTCTTAAAGCGGTATTATATAGAAAGGTAAAACGGAACTCGGTGAATAAGTTTATGCGCAGTTATATTTTAATTCCTTTTTCTACCATCCAAAAAAACAGAATCTGCTGTTTACTTAGAATAATTTACTTTAAAGTATATTCCACTTCAACTGATGCTGTTTTCTTTAGAGAAAAAATATTCATAAGACGTTTATTTCCTTTTTATGTCATGGACAGAGTTGAATACTGGATAAACAGTGCTTCTATTCTGATTTTTTTTATCGAAACTAATTGAAGGAAAAAAGAGAAACTGAATTAGGCTGTAATATTATCGCAGTGCAAACGAAAATAAAATAAAAATCCTACAAACAAAAAAGCGTTGTAGGAAGTTAGCCAGCCAGTAAGGGCCGTTAATGAAAAACCTCTATTTCACAGAAGCAAAAAAATGTGATCCACTGTTTTACACCCAAACGCACGCCTGGAAAAGCCATCTGTTTTCATTGATGAAGGATTGTTATTATTATTATTTAATATGTTGTTTGTGGCATTTGTTGTTGATAATAAGTTGGCGACGGTTGAATTAGATATTGTTGTTGAGCTAATGATTGAACTATTTGTGTCGTTGCTGTTTGTGGATAACGAATTGGTTGTGGATATTGTTGATACAAGTTTTTTTTACATTGTTGTTATTCAGTATTGTTATTATTATCATAGTTTGGATAATTACTACTATTTAAATCAAATCGATTATTAATAAATGAACGATTGTTTCATATCGTTGTTGAGACGACGGTGACGAGGATAATAAGAAGAACGATAATAGTAATAAGAGTTGTTATTATCGTATTCATTATTATAGCAAGACGGATAATACGTTGATCGATATCGATCATAAGAATAACTAGGATAGTTATATGAATAATCGCTGTTATAATAGTAATTATTATTTCTTCTATCATATGGTGTACGACCCTGTTGTTTATTTGTTGTTACCGATGATTGTTGTCGTCGTCCATTAACTGATGCTCTTTTGGTTTGTTGCTGTTGTTGATTTTTATCAGAAGATTGTTGTCGTCGGTTTACAGAAGTTGAGGTTGACCGACTAACTTGTTGAGTATCTTGATTAAAATGTGTTTTTCTAGGTTGACGAGATTTTTTATCTTGGCTCTTTTTAATATTAATATTATTATTAATATTTTTTTGCAGCTTTGTTGTTGTTATAATAGATGTTGTCGATAAAAAGTGATTAATCGTTGGAAATGATGAATCAGGTAATGAAAGCTTGTTTTTGTTTGATGATGATGATGTTTGTGAAGTTTTTCGTGATTTTTTTGCGTTGATTGTATGACGAATTAATTCACACCATGAACTTTCAATAAATGGTTTTAATTTCTTATCAATTTCAGCTTCAATTTCAAATCTTTTCAAATGTGGGATTGAAGATAATACCCTAGTGAATGTACTCAAGTGTGAGTACTCAAAAAGTACTCTCCTAGAAAAACCGGACGAGTACTCATACGTACTCATACATTTTTTTACTCACTGAGTACTCATCTGAGTACTCATGAGTGAGTAACAAGTACTCTGAGTACGACTTTGAGTACTCCTGCTTGGGTATTGTTGAGTACTCATACCACTTTTGGCAAAATACTCATGAGTATTGTTCATCTGATATTTCCACATAGAGGAGTGATCTCAGGTAGCCAGAGTAGGACTACAAGTCTATCTCTCACTATATAAAGAGAGACCAGTGAGAAAATAATAATATAAATATTCTCTGTTTCTTCACTAAATTCTACGCTCTTTATACAGTTTCAGTTTAGCAAAATAAAATGGTGAATGAACATTTCCTGAGTACTCACATGAGTAACTGAGTACTCACTGAGTAACAATACTCAGAAATTGTTAGTAGTACCAATATGAGTACTCATGGACGAATTATGAGTAAAGTCGTACTCATCGTATGAGTACTTCCACTAGGGTACAGATTCAGTTTTGCATCTCGAAACTGAAATGTGATCGTTGATAAATTTCATGGTTGATTCGATTAACTGTTGTCGACAATTGTTCAATATTGAGTTTCATTGCCCATAACTTTTTGCGAACCAGCCAGAAACCAGCGGTTTAACCTTCGGAATTAGCGTGCAAAGCTGCATCAGAAATGTGGCTTTGAACGAAGCGCACTTGGTCGAGTATAATATGGTAGGTTTCAAATGGATTGAGCCTACTGTTATTGAAGGTTATCTCTCGCTTCCTACCTAAATCCGCATACACCAGCTCTTCAGTTTTCACCATAATATTTAATATTTGAAGAAAAACTAAATAACAAAAGTCATATCTCTATTTTACCGCTTCCGGAGAAAAATGCAATATCATCAAATAATTACTGTTATTGAAGGTTATCTCTCGCTTCCTACCTAAATCCTCATACACCAGCTCTTCAGTGTTTACCATAATATTTTTGCTTTTTTGAAATATCGCGTTTTTTTGTAATTTGCATTATCATAATTGTCATTGCTTACACACAATGTCTACACTGACTCTTTTTGCCCTGATAGTCAATATATTGAACATCGATAAAAATGAAAATTTCTTCTTTTCGTATTTCTTGTTTCGAAAGAAAAGGTGTTCTATGCGCATAAAATACGAGCGAGCAGAAAAGTAAATTCGAACAGAACAAAACAAGATCAACACATTGCAACAAAACATACAAGCGTCATCTTTGATGTTTGAGTTAACCGTGGTGAAAAAGAATGATGTTCAATATAAAAAATCATTAAAATAAAATTTTGAGTAATACACACCTAAGCTGATGCAACAGCGGAATATCGACGTCACTTTCTATTCATTAGAAAATATCCCAAGTTCAGTATTAATGCAGTTTGCAGTACTCATGTGAAACATTAAATTAAAATAACTTTCGAAACTGGGATACTGTTGTGAACATTGCTCACTACCGTTATGTAGAATACAGATTTTACTTTATGTTGAGTAGTTTAATTTCTACCCTGTAAATTATATTGACTATCAGGGGAAAAAGAGTAAGTGCATGAAAGTTTCTTTGCTTAATTGCAGTGTTTCTCATCCATGAAGGAGAAAAATTCAGCGAAAGAGAGCATGTACTCTTTCGCTGAATTTTTCGGAAAAGGTTGCTTTTAGTTCGGCTTAAATATTAGAGAAAAGCAATCAAGTTGATAGTGTATTAAATTCATAGTGAGTGATTTTGTGAATTGAAGAGTATGAACATTCACACTAAAATGTAACTGTCTATACATAATCAGTGTTCTATACATGAATATTCTGTTTTTCGTTCTGTCTCTTCATTCTGATAACATGAAAATAAGAAAAATCAGAGAAAAAAAGAATATATCCAGAACGGAGAAAAATGGGAGAATAGAATAAAAAGCGCTAGTTTCCACGCAAAAACAGTTTTTCGCCTCTTTCTCGAAAACTAAGAGTTGTCCAAGAAAACGGGTAGCATATTCGGAATTCTTGTGAAATTGCAAATCAGAATATGTATTTTTTTCTCTTATTTTCAGCCCGATGGAAAATCGAATGTTTTGCTATGTAAATGAAATCAGAAAGAAACTTTCAACTAAAACTTACTTTAACTAAACTTTAACTTTAAACCATGGCTCGGAGAGAGTGGAATTTTGTAGAAGAATTTTCTGATAAAAATGATATGAAATCATTTATCGACGATAAATGATTTAACGACGCGGAAGACCAAGAAAATTAGGAAATGCGTTATCTGGTGTTTAGCTGTTGTGCTTACATATTCTCTCTGTCCTGTCTATTTCTGCGACTACTCTCTAAAAAAAATCCGTAGCTTACAAAACGAATATCGGTTTTGGCATTTGCTCCTAATAGAAACCGATATCCGTATCGTACAGTCCTGCATAACCGTTTCGCAGAATACGCTTCAACGTTT